TTTTGTATTGGATTGTTTATGTGACCTAGAATGATGGAGCTGCTGGAGAAAACACTCATCAGAGTTTTTTTTCCCCCCCTCCAGCGTGCACACCGAGAATAAGAAACAACCTTCTCCTTTGATTGTTATTGTATTCATGCCAGCTACTCACATTAATAAGACCCTTTAAGGGCTCCTGTTGAGTCCCTTTGAATGAGGCCTTTAAAAGCAGTAATTTAATTACTTGCTCTGATTTTTTGTCTATGTCTCATAGATAATCTCGCTTTCTAAATCATTATAAATCTTACCTGTAAACATTGTTATTGAAAGGGTTATAGCTGCCCAGGGCTATAAGTGACCCCAATCCTAATCCGTAAGAGAAGAAGATCTGTGTAGCTGCATCCAGCCATACCTGACAAAGGAACACAAGCATTTTAGCTGCGTGACGCCGAGCTCTACTCACTCAGGCGTGCAGCACACAGGTACAAATCACATTATGATACAGTATGTCATTACCTCAGATTCTTTGAGTTTTTCAAAGTTAGGGGTGATATAGAACAGAATTCCGTCACTAGCTCCAGGTAGAGTCACTCCCCGGCAGAAGAGAATAAACAGCATGAAGTAGGGATACGTAGCAGAGAAGTACACCACCTATAGTGTGAGACAGGAATCAGCTGGAGGACACGGCTGCATCTTAATTCAATTCATGATGTGTGCAGAATTTGTTAACATTGAATTCACACATTTTCTTTAGAAATGTAATGAGGGCGTTAAAGATTTTCTAGATGTATAGCCTTTAGTCTATTCTAGACAAATAAAGGATAAAGGGGCTAAATACAGAGCAAATATATCACCTGCTTCCCTTCGAGTGCCTGTGTGCATTTATGGCTCTGTTGCAAGCGATTTGTGCACAAAATGTGCAGGGGGATGGGTTTTTTTGTGACCAAAACTAATTTTATTTGCAATGGTCACGTGATGCGTTAGACTTTCGAAATGTGGCACCCCAGGGGAGGGAAGCTGCTCCAAGTCGAGGGAGGAGGACAAAACCAGATTGAAGCGTATGGCTGTTTGTTGCTCCTCCTATCGTGTCGCCACACTCAGTGTAGACTCTGTGTCAGGAGGGTTGGAATTAGAGGAGCTACCAAGAGGGAGACTAGGATTAGTCAACATGAGTGTTTGATGTGTGTTCTCTTATTTTCAAATCAATCTGAACAATGCTGACGGCAATCTAAATGATTGATGAGGTGATATTACACTGATTAATACTTGCATAGCTGTCACTTAAACTCCTTATTGGGAACTAGTGTAGCATGAGAGGTCTTGGATACCCAAATCTGGCAAAGTCTTACCTTTCCTGTCCAGCCAACCCCTTTCCAGATGCAGAAGTATACGAGGACCCAGGCGATGGCCAGCGTTATAGCCAGTGGCACTCGAATCTGGCCTGGTTTTTCCAAGCCATCAGTCATTTCATGCATGTTGCGCCTATAGTCAGAGCGAGCAACAACATGACCATTATCCACACAGAGAAATTAGCATACATCAAAGAGGGGGCTTTCTTTTATGCACTGGGATGCATGCAGGACACTTTAAAGCTCTGCTGTTGTGAAAAGCAAAAGGAAAGCAGTCAATATCTTACTCCCAAAACTCTAGCACTGAACTGGTGAGATTGGTGGTATCTGCAATTGAGTGGTTTGTGTAACATTTCTCTGTGTTCCATGGATTGTTACAAGAGCTCCATGGAAGATCCTGTAAAACAAAAATCACAGTGTTTTTCCCTTCTTGACACACAAGGGAATTTTCAATATCTGTTATAACAACCTTGACCCTATGGTGCTTTTTATGAGTCACGTGAGCACACTGTGAGATACTTACAGTGGTAAAGGAGTTGTACAGGTAGTAAATGGCCCAAGCAATGATTACAATGTAGTAAATGTTAAGCCAGAAGGACAGGACAGCTGCTGCAAGGCCCACACCTATCATACAGAGATGAATTAGGCAGTTTGTCACGGATTTGTGGCCTCCATAAATCCTGACAAAATTATCTCTATGAAAGCAGCAAAGATGATGAATACTTTTCGGACAGGCCTGGTATCAAGAAACAGTTTTTCAGAAAATGTAGGTATACCTTTAAACATAGGAGCAAGTTTCCATACACCAAGTCCTCCAATGGAGGTGTATTGACCAAGAGAGGTTTCCAGTAGAAACAAGGGGACCCCAGCAAATACCAGAGTCAAAAAATATGGAATCAAAAAGGCTCCTGCATGGACGAAAGTAGATTATGCATTAAAAAAAGAAAAATCACAAATCTGAGGCTTGAACTACACTGACGCACTTTTCAAAACATCACATGGCACTACATAAACTAATTAGGGTTGCAAATGTAGGTGTTATTTATTCTTTTCATGTTATCGACACGGTCAATTAGGCGAGCTCGGCTATGTGCGTGCATCGTGGAGCTGAATGGGCCATGCAATGTGCTTAAATTAGCAGGGAAAAAAATATTGTTTACCTCCTCCATTTTTTCCACAAAGATAGGGAAATCTCCACACGTTTCCCAGTCCAATTGCATAACCAACGCACGAAAGGAGAAAATCAAATCTCCCCCCCCATGTTTCTCTATCAGGCAAATCCTTTTTCTGCTTTTCGGGCTTTACGTCCAGTGACTTGGGTTTGTCATTGTTTGTGGCCACCTCGTTCAGTTCTGTGACTTGTCCATCCGTTTTGGTGCCGTTCGTCGCCATGTCTCTGGATTTGGCAGAGGTCCTGGCAGTCGGACGGGAGGCTTCAGCACCAGTCCACGTAGACAGCAGCTTCGCGGTTTTTAGACCTAACCTTTGGACCAAATGTCTGGAGATGAAGCCTGTGCACACACGGCTCGTCAGTCGCCGTTAACCTGGAAGCGTGAATAGAGCATTTGGTCGGTTTTGTGCAGCAGGCGCTGAAAATGTTGGTTATTTGTGAAGCAAATATGGACACATTTTGCACAGCATTCATTTATCCCTCGGCAGGTTCAATATCAAATAGCAAATATATATATTTTTCCAAACATTGACAGTTTAACTGAAATAGCCTATGCATTTATAAATCGCAGATTTAAGCATCTCGTAAACATTTGGGTTCCTGACAACGTTTTTCATTCATATCTGACTCAACAAAAACATCCAAAAGCATCGATGGCAAAGTCATGCTGGACCTGATCCCAGAACTAAAACACATACCACAGATGCGCGTAAATTAAAAACAGATCAGCACACACTGTAGCCGTGTTAAAGTCTGCATTAAATAAGAAAGAAAAGAAAAAAGAAAAGGGAAATGAGAGCCATAGTAACAACGAAAACTTTATGACAAATTCACAGGATCCAAAACATGCACCTCAAGCGCAAGACGCACCGTAGCAAAAGCAAATAGCCTATGAGAATTAAGCATAGTCAAGTCCACCAATTACCACCTGCAGATTCTCCAAACAGTTATCAACGAACAGATTTTCAAGCAGCAGGGACACAGAGAGGTCTCAAACAAACTGGAACACAAAACGCATAATGGAGACAAAGGGATGTCCAATGCGTAAAAGCTTTACGCATCAAGCTGCACAAATAGCCTCCCCATTCTGCCCGATTAATTGAGAACCAAAAGCGTTATTAGACGCACCAGAACGCATCTCCACATTTTGCAGCGTCCAATAGACTGGCAAACAGTAATCAATTCTGCACTTATTTGGCTACACCGTGTATGTGCAGAGCTCATCGTGCAGTCAGTAAATTGACCCCAGCAACACATTGACAGTCTCATTCACAATTGAATCACACTCTTAAAGACAAAATGATTAAAGAACCGTGCATTTGACTGAGGGTTCAAACACGCACACACGCTCAGACAGACGCAGAAATTCAGCAGCCAATTTACTCACAATGAAAGTGGGAGCTGTGCCGCCGAGGATCCGCTGCCTGCCACAAATCTCGAAGCGAGGTATCCGTAGATTCCTCCTGTGGATGAAGTTGTAAACTCCCAGTATTTCTTGGAACATAAATAGATTTAACTTCCATTAAAAGACTTAGAGGAACCATGCAGCGTTACAGAGGATGTCCAAGCGGGAGCTGTCCAGCGGGGAGCAGTGCTGAAGACCAGGAGGAGGAAGAAGAGAAGGAAGAAGAAGAAGAGGAGGAGGAGGAGGAGGCTGAATCAACACGGGCAGCAGCCGCTTCGCCTTGTGCGACTGTCTAACATCAACAACCAGAGACTCAACTCCCATCTACACAGCCTCAATGTCATCTCAAAGTCGCCCCCCCCCCTCCTCATCATCTTCATCATCCTCTTCTTCATCTATAGGCTGCACTCACATCGCACTCGCAGTGTTTGTTTTTTTAATAGTTCATTTGTACTCTCCCCCCCTCTACTTTAATAAATACAAATATTGAGGTTTTCACATTTATCTCCAATATAGGCCTATAGCGACGCATTTTTAATGCCCATAAACTGACAAGAAATGAAGACAATCCAGTTTGTGAGTGATGGATAACTACTGGTGACTAGTGATGGATATTGTCTGTTTGGGGGGGGTTTCTTCTAATCTTTAATCCTTATTATTTCTTCACACAAACAGCTTTACAAATCATCGGTTTAAACGTAATTTCATCCCCCCCCCCCAGCGGCACAAAATGTGACCCCCGCCCACAGCCACCCACCCACCTCCTTTAGCCCCCCCCTACCCACCCCCTAAAAAGATCACCCCCTCCTCCCTTCCAGTGATAAAATGTATGGTGTAAAATGGAAACATATTGAGGGTAATAGAAGCAGCATTATCGGGTCTGAGGCCAGTCAGCGGCTCTCTGCAAATCTGGCAAATTGTGATAAAGGGAGCCCGTCAATAAAGGGAGGGAACACTAGCTGCTTGTCTAACTCTGCCTGTAATCGTCCAAAGCCCGACGTCTGCTACAAATGAGGGGATGATATGCGAGGAACAAACTCGTGGACTTTAAGCTCATAGTTAAGAAAAAAAAAAGGGGGGAGGGGGGGCACAGGGGGGTGTATCGATATAAACATGGGAAGCATTTGAGAGACCAGTGGATCCAGTCGCGGATTTTGTTTTACATTTAAAAAAAAAAGAAGAAGAAAACTCACGGAAAGTCACAGACAAGAGCAAAACATTACTCTGAGGAGAACGTCTTCAATTTCAACTTCAGAGGTAAGTGATTCACTGTGTGTATCAAGGGGCCACTTGTTTGATTTAGTTGAAGATTTAGCGCAAGTTTCTCCTCAACTCAGCTGTTTTGATCTGTGATGTCACGTTTTTCTTCTTTGTCTTTTTTCTTTTTTTTTGTACTGCTTGGTAGTTTTCGTTTTGAGACTCCACGTGTAGCTGCCTGCTATCACTTAACTTGCTTCTCTTTTGATGCCACTGATCTGACTTTGGCGGAGCGTGCCCACTTGCTGCAGTGTAAAGTTGTGTGAACGCTGCGTGCGGACTGTAGTGAGAATGTTACCACTATCACAGGCGGAGAGGGCACCAGATGGCAGAGCAATGAGGGGTGAACTAACCTACTAAATGATAGCACACGAAATGCAGCATTTAAAATCCCATCTGGTTCGGCGTCCCTGCGGACATGGAGTGTGAAACATGACACATATTTATACACCTGCTGATGGAGCACACAGGCATGTCCAATAGGCTGGTGACATGTTCGCTCAGCCAGCTGACCTCCTCACCCCGCAGCTTTGCTTTGATTCAGCTCACTGCCCTTTTCACCAGCAGACCCCCCCCCCTCTTAATTTCAGTCTGAAGCCGGTGTTTGGGCTGCTTGTGAACGCTGCACGTGCTCCATTGGGCTGGGATTGCTTGTCCCTTCTTGTAATGGATTTTTGAGTATGTGACTGAGATTGAGGTTCGGGTTGCCCCCTTTTTACTGGCCCACTGGCTGTAAAATTATCTTAATGTTGGGGTGGGTGGGTGGGTGGGTGTGGGTTGTTGGGAGAAGGACACAGCCGAGTCGTGCTTTTAACATTTAAAACCCCTCTGTTGGTTTATCGCCATACTGAAGGTTAAGGTTATTATGAAGGTTAAAATAACTATTTATATAAAGATCAATAACAAAGCTCACACATTTTCACACGATATTATTAGAAACACAATTAATTTAACTTTTAAAATAAAACTGACCAAATAAGAATGATTGTTTAAAAAATAATAATCATTCAAATGCAGAGCATAAATATTAAATAAAAGATATTTTCTAAATAAATTCAATATTGGAAATAAGATGAAGTACATTGAGCAATATAACGTAATTAAATGTAAAATGAAAATAATCCATTGTTTCTTTTTTTAGGATGATGACATTTCAATTTCCTCTACTAACATTCTTACTTTTTTTAAAAACCCACCTTTAAATGCATTTAAAAAAAACAACAACATCTGCAATAATCTCTGTGCAATTCTCTGAGCATTTCCCAGTTTTCAGAAAGCATTTCCATGGATTCACATTTCTCAGCTCCAGTGTGCAATTTGAGGCCACAAAAAATGAACTGATTAGCATGATTAGTCATTAGTATGCTAATCATAAGCAATTCACATATTTTATTCATATTGTCGCAGACTTGTTTTTCTCCTGCTGCTGGAATTGTGTACACATCCCGTTTTATTTTCATTGTAAACATGCAGGTCAATCCTGTGACTGCTGATGATGATTTTCACCTAGCGGAACATAATGTCACATTGTGTTTGCACATACAAAAGCTAATGGACCTGGATGAGAACACTTAGTCTACTTAATATATAGAGAAGAACATGAGCCCAGAGTCATGGTGGATTTAGCTTACCCATTAATAGGAAATCATTCTTATCCCACACTATATCTATATGAGTATGTATAAATCGCTCAATGATTGCAAAAGAAAATGTATTTCAATCTAGCTGCTGAAAAGGCGCTGCAGAAAAACCCACATTTAAATCACATGCAAAAAGAAAAAAAACCACAAATAGAAAATATTTGCAATCCCTTGTTTTGACAGCCAGGCAGTTCACATCAGTTTATAAAAAAAGTCTTATTAGGTAATCCCACCAAGAGTTAGACTGTCAGAAGCCCTGACATGAAGCCTCTTTTCTGTTTGCCTTTTTTTCCCACCTGTCTCTTACTACAATTTCTGCTGCACATTTTTCTTGACTAGTAAGCACACAGTTTGTTTATCACCGTGGTCTATCTCTTGTGTCTTGATGATAGCATGTTCATCATACATGTATTCCACCAACGGAAGTAAGGCATAACCGAATAACTGCTCACTCAGTATTTCTATATAAAACATCAATAATATTGGGCTTGCCCTCACAGGGATGACTGATGAAATGTACCTCACACCGGCATGTGCAGCACAGAGACACCTGAGATATCCCCTGCATTAAACACAGCGTCTTCTATTCTCAGTCGCTGCATTGTGATGTCCGCTGTGTATACGCCTCTGAAGATGCAGAAAAATCACTTCAAGGCTAGCTGCTCTTATTTGTCTGCGCTCCTTTAGTGTAGCATTTGTTTAGCATGACCTAAATTGCTGTGAAGTGAGTGCCTCAGCAGCTCTGTCTCGCCTCCCTCTTCTTCCTTCCCTACGTCTCCCTGTCTCTTTGTATGCCTCCTTCTCTCTTTCACTCTCTCGCTCTCTCTCTCTCTCTCTCTTACATGCACACACAAACATGATTTACAAACAAGCTGAGAGGACAGGTTTTTTTTTTTTTTTAATAACAAACAGCTTTTGCCAGATCTTATTTACATGCGTAGTGAAGAATTGTGGGATGTAAGAATCAGTGAGGTGGGCATGGCCAATGATATTTCAGGACTCAGTGAGTGAATCATCTACCAAATTTGTGGAGCATGCTCTGTTTCTCTTCTTTGGGTATTTTTTTTTTTTCTCCTTCAGATTTTACCTTCCTGAAGGGATCAACTATGCAAAGAAGTTAAATCCCACAGCTGCAGAAAAGAATAGCTTCTTCCTCTGCTGGGATTCTGACGTTGCTTTTGCACCTGTTTCAAAAGAAATACAGTTCCCACCAACCCTACACAACCACGATATAAAGAGATGGCTGAAGGTTTAAAATGCTTGGCATCAACATGTCGACATGCATCACGCAGGACGGGGACAGGTATGTGTGTTGATCTGCTGACATCCCTGTGTTACAGCCAGCACACGCTTTGGAATTGGTAAACATATGACCTCCATGATAACCAGTATGGGGGCACTAAATCGCTTCAAATTTTGTACATGTGTTGCTAGGCAACAGCATAATCGGTCTCCGTCTCTCCCTCCTTATATGGCTCTCTACTGGGATTGCTGTGCTGCTATCATTGAAAATGGTTAATTAACTTCTACAGAAAGTCCATTAATGGTGCAGATTAGACTTCAGAGGGTTAAAAAGCACATCCAGACTGCACAGAAACATAGACCAACATACATGCATGTTCAAGATTTAAGGAGCACTAGAAATAAGAGACATCACAGTAGCATGCATCGGGTTGTATTTTAGCTGCAACAGCTTTACAGTAATGACTGTAATAAACAGCATTATCAATACAACAAAAGGTTATGTGGTAAATTGGACTCACTGGCTTCACAGCTGATGAACTAATTTGTAGAAATAATCTCTTGTGATTCATTCTCCGAGGGATGAAAACAATTTAATGCAATTAAAAAAGCTGTTACAATAAATAATACTCTGTAAGGAAAATGTGCGTTAAGACACATTACTGCCACACGCTAAAAGTCTACATTTATATTTTTTCGACTGTGTGAAAGCGAACATGCACAACTGTAGCATCATTTTTTTTTTTATACGAAACACAGATCTAAATAGAAATATTACTGAAGCTCAGATAAATATACTTTGCTAAGTATTTTACAACACAACCATTCAAAAAGGAGCAAACCTTTATAAACGTAAAGCTTCTTTAAATATATCAAACTGAAATATATTGAGAGACACTTGGAAGATATGTATAGAAAGTGGAATCAACATTTACATTTTTGTGTGTGTGTGTGTGTGTGATGTAAGTTTGTTATTATTAATTAAACTCACATATCAAATTGCACATCAGTTCATTAATTAGTAGGAAGCCTCTGACTCCCTCCAAAGAAAGTTAATGATTTACCTCAGTGTTGGTTTTGAGCTAAAGCTCTTGTAGAACCTTTGACTGATGCTATATTTTAGATGTCTTATGAAACTGTGTTTAAAACACTGCTGCAGTACTTTTTAGTGTCTAGTGTTGATTTAAAGGTTGTCATTAGACTGTATGGTTTCTGTATTTCATATTCCTAAAGGACTTCAGTTTTCAAACATAATATTTTTGGCTTGTTGGCCTTTATCGGATAGGACACCTTTAGAGAGACAGAAAATGTAGTTGGGGGGAGAGCGGGGGTCGGGGTACGCACCCAACTGCGACAGGATCCGGAGTCATACCTGCGACCATTGCATCAGCAGCCTCTGCACACAGGGCGCCTGCTCAACCAGCTGACCTTAACCAGCAGACCTGGACTTAAAGTTCAATATTCACGCTATAAAAAAATGTTTAAAAAAAAGTGATCTTGTTTTCCTTTGAAAATAATCTGCAAACTGTAATAACAATTCTGAATTTACCTTATCAGAAGTAAACTGAAAAAATAAAATGTAGGCGTATATGTGAAGTGCATTTAAACTATGCTCCAGATTCAGGTTTCTTCTTATTGTTCCGCCTTTCTTGCAAAAAGAGTTTTGAATTTTCATCATTCTTTGCTTGACACCGCCTCTTCCTTATTGAAACCAGAGTTACACAGATGTGAATGGAAAATAAAATAGCATTAGTTTGATCACTGATCAATGACAAGCCCAAAGTAATTAGTCTGCTGATCATTTTGGGGACATTGTCTAATCATTATATTTGTTTTTTGTTTAAGAGATATGCCCAATAACTGAGATTACACCCAAAAATAATTTGACATAATGATTCATTTTAGTCATAGGGATTGTAATATTAAAATTACTGTCTATAAAATGGCAAAACTGTCGTGTTGTACTTCACATTCTGCAGATTTAAAGGCGAGCTAATCCACACAGTATAATCTGGAGGTTTGAGAGTGTACTGAAGAAACTTTGTACATGATGTGATGGTGGAGATTGAAAGCTGGATTACGGAAAAGTTCTGTGCCAGGCATAACGCTCACACATAC